CAGCCATTTTGTATTTTGTGGTTGAGCTGCCACAGAATGGTGGCCATTTTGTCTCACGCAGCCGCAGAGATCATTTTACCTGTGAGGGCAAGTGGTTAGCACTGCCTTGCATGGCTCTGCAGTGGAAGGGCCCCTATGAAGGACTCCCTCTAAACTTTAAAAATAAAATGTGCCCCTTATTAAAGGAGTTTTTGCTGCCCTTTCTCTTCTTTAACCAGAATCATAAACCTGCAGGCAGGTGAGGTCTCTTATCTGGTGACTGACTTCAGTATCACGTGAGTTACTCTTTCTGACTGGGTGTCCAAATCTCTTTCTAAAGGTGGAAAATTTCTTCCTGACAAGAGTAACCTGTCAATGGCCCAGACTCAAGATCGTGAGTAATTTTAATATCCAGTACAGCACAAAGCAACTTGCTTATTCATCATGTGACTGTTGCAAAGAGACATGGGGAAATTAATAAACTAAAAAAGCAAGCTTTGATGTTTTAACTCAATACTTAAATCACAGATATTTGTTCAAATGTAATTGAAATTTTCCTCACTTTAATTTTGAAAACTGAAAATCTGAGTCTGTTCAACTAATAGTATGTTTGATAGACATAGGCTAATAGTTGAGACACAGAGCCTGCTTGGATATGTATGAGAAAAAAACACGCATATAGTTTTATATGGTTTTTGAACATTACTCTGTACCACTTTTTAAGCCTAATACTATTAAATCCTTTTATTTTTTAGTTTAATGCCACTGCCTGATTCTCAAATACTTTAGGACTTGCTTTGAAATAATAATGATGATTAAGTATCTGGCTTTTGTTTCTTCACCATCCTACTCTTTCTTTCACCCCTACAGGGTGACTCTTCTAAAGCTTTTAGTGATGATGAACTGCTCAGTAAAGATTTTATTTAGATACTGAAGTGTTACCAACTGAGAGTATTGTAATGTAACATTTGTGTAGTGACGTAGGAGCAACATATTTCATTTTATCCCTTTTGTTGTCCTACAGACTTCATTAGTCATTGGTGTTACTTTGTTCAGTGGGGAGAGGGAATATGGACCTCATGGTATTACTATGGTAAAAATAATGCCTTGATGCCTTAACTTTCAAAGCAAGGAAAGCTGTCTCTATGTTCTGCTAAAGACTCCCTCATGTAGAGTTCATGTCGCTTGAAGAGAGACAGGTGCTATATAGATCACGCTGAGCAACTGCCTGAAAGAATGTTACATTATCGATGATCTTGCATATCAGCAGGAAAAGTTTTTACTAATTATGCACAGAAGCGTGAAAAATGCAAACCAACTCCAGGTCCACTGAGCATCCAGACCTTGCTAGGATTTTTTTTTGTTGGGTTTGGGTTTTGGTTTGGTTTGGTTTTTTTTTTCTACTGGCTGATAGGCTAACCTGAAACGGTTCTCTGCCAAATGCCCTTATTTTATGGCTACTGCATTTGTTTGGGCAAAATGTTGATGTAACAGGTAAAGACAACACATGTTGCAGAGCTATTTCAAACATCAGTAACGGTGAGTTTTATTATTATCCCATCTTGATCTTTTTTGTGCGTCTTCTTCAAGTAAAACAGTAATTTCAATTAGCAGTCTTAGCAAGTTCCTTCCATGGATTAAACCTGCATCGCTCTGACAGGGGAAGAGCTTGCTCTGATTTCCATCAGCAACAGAACTAGCCTGAAGTGTTTTGTTTTCTTATTTTTGAGTGTGAATATTGTTAAAATACAGTGTCTGTGCTGTGAAGAGTTGTGGTAGTTGCTGGTGTGTGTAAGTAAAGCTGACAGGCTGTATGCCTCTAACAGGAGGAAGCTATGGCCACCATTAGGGCTGGTGATACACTCAGAGCACAAGCCCTCTAGCTTACTTCCTTTATTTTTATTAGTTTTTTTTAAAGCACAGCTACAATGTACTTTGTCCTAGCTTTAGGATCTGGCTACATGTGAATTAAAAAATCAGTCACACAGACAGACAGTGAGAAAAATGAACAATTACTTTTAAAAACGTAGCTAGAGATGTAAGCTGTGGCTGGATGCATAAGTGATACAGAATTATTTCATCGTGTTCATGCTTTTGTAAGAACTAGAAAAAGCCCAATTTAACTCAAGAGAATTTCTACTCTGTTGCTAACAGCAAGAGGAGGAAAAAAGAGAATACAAACATACCACACATTTTCTCCATTACTATACGTACATTTTCTCCTTTTGTTATAATTGAACAAAAAGCTAAAGCAGGTACAAGAACTAAAGAGATCTGGTTTTCATTAAAGCTGGTCTTGAACTCAGTAGTCTGAGCGTAAGTGTAGTACTGCTAGTTAGCAGCCACATGTTCAATGTCAAGTCTGCCTTAAACCTGTCTGAGGCAGCTCAGTTTCATGCAGTTGGTTATATAGGTCATTCACAGGGGAATCTAGTACTGCCAGAAGAAAACAATCATTAAAATTAATGACCTACATACAGACTTCTGGTCTTGGGACACTGGCAATGCGTTACTTCAGGAAACAACTGAAAAAATTTAAATATGGCCACATATAAAATCTTCCACAATACGCCTATGAATTAGAGTTTATGTAATTTGCTTAGTTAAACAGATACAAAACTTGGACCACTGAGCTAACCGTGAGTTGTACTGTTAATGTCAGCAAGAGGTCATTAAAAGACATTTGTCATTAAAAGATGTTTGTCATTGAAGACAAAAGCAACCGAGCCCCTCTGTCAGTGTAAACTATCCAGAATGAAAGGCAGTAAAGAACAGGTGCTGCTATATTACTTGGGCATCACTAGCAACATGCTTCTCACTTGTCAGGAATAAAATGTAAAAACACTTTTAAAAATGAGATAAAGTCAAATAGACAATTTTTTGGACTCCTAAAAGCTATTAAGGGAAGCACGTTCTAATTCTAGAGGCCTTTGCGAGTGTGAGAGGCTGTTTTTTCTTTCACACTTGATGAGCCAGTATGAAGAACTTGCCTGTTGTAAATGGTCTTAGAAAGATGGGAAGCTTACATGGGGCTTGAAAAATCATGATCAGCGCAGTCTTGGTTTGCAAGTAGAGTTCCAGTGCAGAGACAGATGCTATCTCACCATTTTATTCAGTGGTGTTAACAAACTGAATTTAACTGCATCAAGGATTAATGAGCAATGTCAGGAATTCTGCCACAGAGAAGGGAGCAGTTGGGCTAGAAAGCTGTGTGAATATCCCTGGAAAAGTGGTCATCTTGGTCCACTGCTGCTGAAGGAATGAGAGGGTCTGTAGCAGTGGCACAGTCCTCAGTCCCTCTTACTGAAGACAGTGGCAGCAGCAACAAGCTTGGCTTTCCATAACTTAGAAAAGACAAAAAAGTGGGGCCATCTCTGGTAGTTGCTGCCTCTGTCACCTGCCTGCTTTGCTAACACCTAGGGCCAAACCTAGTGGAGACTTTGATGCTCAGAAGAGCTTTCCTCACTCAGCCAGTGAACGGCTGGGGAGTGCTCTTGGGTAGCTCTAGGCAGAGTGTGTTTGGACGATATCTAATGCACGAAGAGTACTGTTGCACAGTACGAATGTCAGTTATATTCCCATTTCAATAAGCAAGCTCCTCTGTGTTAAATTCCTTACTCAAACGCCTGCTAGGCAATACAGAGTAAAGAGCGTGATAAGTGTGAGCATGGGGGAAATGAAAAGAACAGACTGGACACAAGAACAAACAGAACAAGTGAAGAACATGCAAAACGATGACAAGCAGATGTCCGCCATGGCTCTCATTCACTGGGACGGTTTATTTCAGTGCTTTGTTTGATACAGAAAATGTCAAGAGAAGTGCAGGGTTCATTGATGAGGCTTCTTCCAGATTAAATTTATGTACAAGCCAATAACCAAGTAGTTATTTGACTACCAGAAGCAGGTGTGACAAAACCTTTCTTGTTCACTTTATTTGTACCACTACAGGTACATTAAAGGTCAGTGTCACTGTTACCAGTCCTTATTTCCAAAGGTGTCTAAGCAGTGATTCTGGGCTGAAGTCTTCTGGGATAATACTCAAAGACTGTGCTGTTTGAGGGTGGGGCTTTCAACTTCTGGCAGTGCAAGACAGGGCACCGAGATTAACCTCCAGGTGCAAGGGTTAAAGTACCAGTCCTATCTTTGTACTTTAAAGGGAGAAGAGAGCAAGTGAGTTTTTTCAGGCTACTGTAGCTTCATTAATGTCAAGGGTCTGGGTTCAGCAGGTTTTATATCTACTGAGGTTCTTGGCCTGTCAGCAAAGGCACTAGTTTCTGACCTCAGGTACTCACAGACAGATGGGACTTCAAAATAATATACTCCTTATTAATAAGTCCTCGTCTTCTAAATTCAGTGATTTAGGAATATAAACCCTATTGAATTCATCATCAGAACTAGATGAATTTTCATTAACCTTCAGTGAGGCTCCTATGCCTGACCCTTTTGGCAATTTTGAAAATCTCTCTTGGAGTATTACTATTTAATTTGATACGTCAAAATGTGTTTTGTGTTCATAACTTAATGGCTTCCATTTAACAAATGTCAAATCTTGGCTGCTATTAGTCCAGAACACGGTGTGCTCTCTTGTGACATGAACTGTCTAAGACCACTAACGCAGTGAGGAATAAAGCCTGAATTAGGTTAGACTGTGGAAGCTCCAAATCCCCTACCTGTTGATATTTTCTTCAGATAAATATCCTTCCCACAAAGGATTGAAGTCAGGTATAAAAATACGCTCTGTAGACACGTACTTCGCTAAAGTTTCCTTTTGTAAGTAATAGATCCCTTTTATGTCTTCTGCAAATCATGCTGAATAAAAAAAGGTGCAGAATAAAAAAGGTAATTTCCTTTGCAACTACAAAAATAATTTCCCAATGGCATTTTGCAAGTATTCACCTAACTGGGATGCTCGTTATCTTTCTTCCTTTTAAAATGTCAAGCAGATGAAAGTCTTCTAAATAGCATTCTTTCCTATTTTGATTAATTTTGCATAGTGTTTTCCCAGAAGTATTGATACTTACATAAACCTGAGTTCTGATTCTCTTCTGACTAAGACTTCCCGAAGTCTCTGGATCTTTGCCATCTCAAGCTCAATTTCCTCAGGCATCATTGTTGTTTCAGCCATTGAAATGATGTCAAGTTGATCTGTGTGTGAAAGCAGAGAAAATGAATTAAGCTAGTCAAACTGTCTTAATGGGGTTTTTTAGGAATGTAAATTTAATCATAGAGCTATCTGACTATGGGGTAATTAATGCAAGTAGTAAAGAATATTCTATCTGAATGCTACATTGACTGGTTTCTCTATTTTTTTGCTTATTACTTTCAATGTAACCATTTTGAAGTGAAAGAATCCCTAAGCCAAAGTGACATTCATTTTGTTAGTCTGAATCTATCATACCTCTAAGGAATCCCAACCCAGTACATAACTATAGCTACTGTTCCTTAACTGATATCACTACAAACTTTGAAAGAACAGCCATAGACTGCTACAAAACTCACTCAAAGCAATTACTTGCAACTCTTCAGAGTCCTATCTTGGCGCAAGTGCAGGCAAATGTAAACTGAAGAAGGTTTCCCATCTTTAATTCTTACAACTTTTCATGCCATTCCACCATCTCAGCTTGACTAACAGCTAAAGCCCAGACCCACTAGAGAGGAGCCAAGGATGTGATTAGAAATTATGTAGGGCCTAATCCTTCAAGGGGCTGAGTGTTTCTCACTGGGGCACTGAAATCAGTTGAGGAGACAAACAGCACTTTGTAGTAATTACTTGGCAACTGGCAAGGCCAGGATCCTTCTATGATTATTTCTCTGTAATTGATGTATTACCTCTTCTAATCCAGAGAGAAACAGGGCTATGAACTGTGTTCATTGAAGGTAGAAGGAACCAATTTATAGAAGGTGGATTTGGGAAGGAGCAACTTGGCCTCTGGAAAACCTTATTCCAAGGGTTCACCATACTTGGCCTTCATTTAGAACAAGAATTTAGAGACTGAAAAATAGAGTGCCTGCATGTTTTGGTACCCAAATGGAGACACGTTCCTGAAAGCAGGCCTGTTTCAGCTGTATTGGTTTAAAAAAGAAAAATTGAGAGGTCAGAATGTATTCAGCATGATATTGCAGAAAACAGGAGACAAAAAGCATCGAAAAAAAGCTGTTCAATTAATTAAGAGGAGATGAATTCTGAAGTCCCTCATGACAGACTAAGCACAAACAGCTGAGAAGAATTTCTGACAGAAGCTTGTAGGAATGAAACTACAAAATGTCAACAAACACAGCCCCTGCGTGAGCTTAGTTCACAAAGACCTAGTCTCCCAAAATGGAAGCAAAGTAAAGAAATTCTATAGGATATAAAGAAAATATATTTTCTTTATATATAAAAATATATAAAATATTTTTTTAAGTTATCCTGCTAGTATTGTCTGCAAGTTTTGGCTTCACTTCATAATTAAGAAAGTGTGCAAATAAATATTAAAAATCACTTTTTTTCCCAAGATAACAGAATTTTGAGGAAAAAAGTGACAGATTTTGAAATGTCTCTCATGAAAGAACCACGTCTCAGTAGTTGTTTTTAAAACTCAAATTGCAAAACTGGTTGGTAAAGTAAGGCTATCTTCTGTGTCTGAACACACAAACGCTGCCTGTAGAAGATGGATTTTCCTATTAGAAATCATCATGTTTGTTGGGGTATATTTAGTTCAGGTATAGCCTAAATGTCCTAAGAAGTGTTGTTCCAGCTCTGTCATCAATGGCTAGCTTCACAGTGTAAAGCACGAGTCTTTTGAAATCCCAGCCACTAACTTAAAAGTTGAAATAGAACCTAAAAACCTTGGAAATTCTAGATCTGTTTGAGGAATGTTGAACACCACTGAAAATGCCTTAGTGACTGTATCCAGCCCCACCCTTTCCCTCCTCTCTGGGTGGGTGGGAATGAAGAACCATGGCAAAGTCTTGAACTTCATAGCAGAGTACCTAACATGCTGTGCTACCACTAATAGATGGGCAGGATTAGAATTCAATATTCACTAGATGTTTATCAGACATCAGTCAAAAGAAACTAGAACAAAGATTCTGTAAGTATTGTTTTGCCTTTTGCTTTTCGGGTTTGTGGAGTTATTTTAACTGCTTGCAGCATAATTGGTTTTGGTGCAAATTTATTTTCCAAAAATATTAAGCAGGAGATAGGAAGTTATTCTGATGCTACCATGAATTAAAGCCAATAATACTCGTAATTAGAGAGATAAGCCACAAATATATTACACATGCATACATATTTTAAAATTAGTTCTCAAGAGCTCAGAAAACAGGAAAAAAAAGTAACTATCTTATTTCCACTCTGCAACTCTAGCTGTAAATGCCCCAGTGTTACTCCTTGGATCAGATCAGCTATCACACTGTGATTTCAATAATTCAGGAGGGGAATCATGAACAAGCCTTATGCCCTGAGTATGTGCTTAAAGCCAACACAAGAATTAGTGTGACAAGCAGTAGTCTAGTCTGACCTCTTGCAGAACAGTCACAGATTCTCCTTCACATCCCACTCAACATGTGCTTGAACCAGAGAAAATATTTTTGCAAGCTATCCTAAATTATGCAATGTTTTCAAAAGAATCAAAAATGTAAGCAAGGCACCAGAAGTTTGAAAGTGGAGGGAAATAAATATAGAAACCATAAGATATTAGTTCGCAACTTGTCTGTAAACTTATTTGAGATGTAGCTAAAATAATACAGAGATATAAGGAGTGGTTTAATTTATCTTCATAGCAGTACATGTGCTGTGAACACTGTAAGGTGATTAATTCTCATTGAGATCTCAAACTGGAAGGATTGGCAAGAGCTGAATTAAGGGAACTTTGAGAGGAAAAACCAGACCGGGCAGTTGAAATGGAAAGAAATCTGAAGATGAGGATATAGAGAACTGAGTATGGAGACACTGTGGTGCTGGAAGATTAAGAGCCAATTCTAGCGGGGTAGGCATGGTCTTCCAAGGAGAAGGAACTGAAGTCAATCCATACTTTATGCATGTTCATCTGTGCACTATTAAGGAACTATATAATTTTTGCATCGAATCTCCAGCTTTTCTAAACCTCCCTTCCTAACAGGTAAAGACTAAGTGACTTCCTTTGACAGCTGCCAATTCCCTTTGTATAGGTGAGTCCATAGGTCTCATAAACCCAACACAGCTGAAGTATACCACCCACTTTGGCCCTCTCTGAAGAGTATGCATTTTTAAGGCAGGCTTTGAGGGAAAAGGCACAATTAGAACACCTTATTTCCTAGAAATCCTTAAATAGTAGAGCACAGGTGTGAGGACACTCTGGAAACACAAGCCTCTGAAGAGGCCACAGGTCAGGATTCCCACCTCACACCTTCACCATTGTGATCCTCACAAATCACCAACTTGTCTGTGTCTGAATTTCTCTTCTAATATTGTGGATAACTGTTTGGCCTACCTGGCAGCAGCTATGCTAAAGGATAATTAATTATTTTTCATTAAATGGTTTGAGCTCCTGGGATGTAAACCACTTGGGAAAGAATATGTTAATGTTATTAAGCCTTTGGGTAAAGCTCTAGCTCTGTCCCAGTGATGAATGACACCTTTAGTGCTTTTGAGACATGATTCTGAACAGCTTCACACAAAAGTCTCTTACCTTTTCATAAAAGAAAGAAGAAACGTTTCATTTTATTTAAAGCAGGCATGCATTAGTCAACTATTTTTTAGCATATATTGTTATTAAGCTCTGTTTCTGGTAATAAGCCAAAATTCATAAAGCAAAAGTGGAGACAACACTGAGATTAGTCACAGCCAGTGACAGGATGAAACTATTTTGTCTGTTCTGCAATCTCCAGGAAAATTTTCAGTGACAAAGAAACAAGTAAAATATTATTACTGTATGCACAAAAAGATACTAGCATGAAAATAATTACTACATAGAAATAAAATTATCAAGTTATTACATATGATAAGAGGGACTGAAGAGGTAAACCTGAAGCTATTTATGCATATTTTTGCTTCAATTTAAATGCAGACTAGTATAGTTAAACTGGGTATTAACTTAATGATCCCATTTCATCCTCAGCGTGCCAGCCAGAAATGGAACATTAGCCACCTGCGATGAAAAGCAACAAAAAAATAAAATGCCTATTAAGTCAATAAATGCAAAGAAAACTTTAAAAGAAGCCTGAAGTGATACAATGAGAAATGGGAGAATGCATTACACCTGGTGACAATAGTTTCAGACAAATTGGTAAGCTATGCTGTAAGGAAAAAGTAATTATCACCAAAAATCCTGCTGCTGTCACTTGATGCAAGCATATTGTTCACTGAGAAGCTCGTTGTGCTCTACAACCATTAGCCGATTTAATTCTAATTTACGGGTTTTGTTATCATCATCTTTGTAAAAGACAGAGGCATGGAGAAGGTGAGGTGTATCACACACAAAGGGTCCCAAACCTAAGCTGTAGGAATGCAAAACTATGTCATTGTATTCTGGTGGTATCCACATACTGAACAGCAATCGGACCTCTACTCCATGAACACCTAAAGCAGTATGCAGGCCATTTGCAGTCTAGAGGCAGTAAGAGCTGAGTGATGAGTTGCTTATGGATACATAGCAAGTCTGTGGCAGAGCCAGTACAAGGTCTGCAGGATCACAGTGTCTCTTCAGGACATTGTTTATCCTTTTTCTTGCTTGTGAATCTGTTGCTGTTGGAAACTATCGGTTGTTCAGCCTTGAAGAGTCATCTCAGTCATTTAGCAACAGAAATGCTCCAGCACAGGTAAGGGTAATGGTCCAGCTACTCTGCCACTTTCTTTTCATCTTTGACATGGATGAACATTTTAAATGAGACTGTGTTTGTTCAATCCATGACTGCTGAGAGCTCTTTAAAGGATTGCAGTACAAATCAGCTGCATGGCTTCTCTAATGTGGACACCACTCAGCAACAAACCTGGCTGCTCAGCCCACTCAATTACAGTGCTTCAGTTGAAAATTATTTTAAGTCGTTGTTGTCCTGGATTGGATTTAAACTGAGCAATTTGAGGCCTATTTTCACTCCCTTAAATTGTCCAATAATAAGATAATCCTTGTTCAAATACTGTTAATGGCTAAGTTTTGTTCCAAATCTGGGTCAGCACTTTTGGG